GGCTGGCCACTTCTTGCTAGCTTAATAGTACATGGAGTGTATTTGGGGCATGCATTGTATCAGAATTACACTTTGTGCCACAACTACGTAGAATCTATGGTTTTGTTGGAGTAGTCTGTTGTAAAATGCAATATTTGATTTATAACTGTATTTTCTTGGCATGAAAACCATTCATCTGACCTCGTATTTTATTCGGCATCAACAAATTGTAGATAAAGAAGCTTCTTTTGAATAAATTCTACAAGTTGACTATATTTATGATGTCACCCTGATTTTTGTAAAGAGTATTTACACGTTGTGCAATTTGAAGTCTCTAACTTTACACTGAAACTTAAACATCTGTAGCAGCAGAAGTAAATGGGCGCCAATTTATAGCTAAATTACCTAATATTTAGCAGATTTTTAAGCTCTGTTGCCACATTTACCTTAAAATCTCGAAACTTTAGCAGAAATTCTCATTTCCAAGAATTCAAAAGTATTTCCAATGGTGTTAATGTTGAATCAAAGCAATGGAATGATGTTAGAGGATAGTAATGGTGAGGTAATTTGAGTTTGTCTGGTTCTATATTCGATCGATATTAACGGATCTCTCATTTCCGTTTACGTCACGCACACACGCGCACGCACGCACACACGCACACACACGCACACGCACGCACACACACACGTACATACATACAAACGCACAAACACATACACAGACACACACATACATCTCATACGTAATTATTCTATGTCGTATAATATGCTGTTTATAAATGTGCAGGTTTACATCGCCTGTATGCTGGCGCACGTTGTTGTCGGCCTGCTGCTGGCAGCTAGCTGGGACTACTGGGTCTTCGCCATGTTCAGATTCTTCCTCGGCATAGCGACGTCTGTAAGGTTCGGTTGGATTCTCTGGTGTTGTCGTATGAGCTCTGACAATACTTCAGAAGATTGCATTGTAGTATAGATCTCTCTGTCTGAATGAGATGGGAGTAACCCCTTGGATATTAAGGCAAAGGTCGGTCAGGGTAGACTAGTCTTTACGCGCTGGAATGCCCATGCAATTGTCGAATTTGCGGCACGCCGTTGCTAATTAAGCAACGCTTTGAGACCGTTTAATCGCAACCCGGATTACCTGGGGCTACGTCATAACCATTACAGACGGGTAGCTAAATTGTTAGGCTGTAGTTAATTAGTTAGATTTTTCTAGTTTGAAACAAAGATAACAGCGTTGGATAGAATGTTTTTTTTGTAACCGCAAGGCTTCGCTGTAAGGAAAATGTACTGTGTTGTTTATGTGAGGGGGATGTACCGTGTTGTTTATGTAAGGGGAATGTACCGTGTTGTTTATGTGAGGGGAATGTACTGTGTTGTTTATGTGAGGGGGAATGTACCGTGTTGTTTATGTGAGGGGAATGTACTGTGTTGTTTATGTGAGGGGGAATGTACCGTGTTGTTTATGTGAGGGGCAATGTACCGTGTTGTTTATGTGAGGGGAATGTACCGTGTTGTTTATGTGATGGGGAATGTACCGTGTTGTTTATGTGAGGGGGAATGTACCGTGTTGTTTATGTAGGGGAATGTACCCGTGTTTGTTTATGTAAAGGGAATGTACGTGTTGTTATGTGAGGGAATGTAGCCGTGTTGTTCTATGTCAAGTTGAATGTACCGTGTGTTCTGTGACGGGGATTACGTGTTGTTTATGTAATTTGAATGTAACGTGTTGTTTTAGTGAGGGAAATGTACCGTGTTTGTTTATGTGATGGGAATTACCGTGTTGGTTTATTGCAGGGGGGTAATGTAACCCGTGTTGTTTATATGAGGGGATTACCGTGTTGTTTATGTGAAGAATGTACCGTGTTGTTTATGTGAGGGGGAATGTACCGGGTTGTTTATGTGAGGGGAATGTACCGTGTGTTTAATGTAAAGGGACATGTACGTGTTTTGTTTATGTGAGGGGAATGTACCGTGTGTGTTTATGTGAGGGAATGTATGTGTTGTTTATGTGAGGGGAAGACCGTGTGTTTATGTAAGGGGGAATCGTACGTGTTGTTATGTGAGGGTAATGTACCGTGTTGTTTATGTGAGGGGAATTACGCGTGTTGTTTATGTGAGGGGAATGTACAGTGTTGTTCATGAGTGAGGGGAATGTACCGTGTTGTTTATGTAAGGGGAATTGTACTGTGTTGTTTATGTGAGGGAAATGTACTGTGTTGTTTATGTGTTACATCGCGTTCTCTCATCATTTACTTATAATCTCTGTCCCACTTCCTCTCTCTCTCTCTCTCTTTTCTCTCTTTTTCTCTCTCTCTCTCTCTCTCTCTCTCTCCCTACCCTCTCTCTCTCGCTGTCTTTCTCTATCCCTCGCCATCTCCCTTTCCCGCTCTCTCTCTCTCTACATTCTCTCTCCCCCCATCTCTCTCGCCTTGCCTCACTCCCCTCGCTCGTCATTCCCCCTCTCTCTCCTCCCCTCTCTCACTCAGCTCTCACTCCGTTATTTGCTGCAAGTTGCAGGGCTCGGCAATGACGGGTTACTCATGCGCAGGAGCAGCTGCCCCCTGGTGAGGCGTATCTACGGCACATTTCTGTTCGCGTATTGCGTGGAACTTGGGTAATCACTAATCCTGCCTCTGCTACCCGCTCGTGTCCAGACTGGCGTTACTTGCAAGTCACCTTCACAGCACCGGCCGTGTTACTCCTCACCTGCTTACTGGTAGGTAGCACAGGCAACGTGGTTTCAACCTATCTGCTAACCATGGCATAAGCATTAGTGGCAGAATAATCCTGGTAACCAACAATACACGTTTCACAATACAGTGTGTATTTTGAACATCTTTCTAACAATACACTGTGCATTAGTAGGTACTTAACTAACTGTGTATTTAAATCCATTTCATTTTCCATAAATTGAATAAAATCAATCAAATAATTTCAATAAATTCATTTAAATAAAGTCAATTATTCACAGTTTATCAAATCAAAAAGTAAAGCTAATAAAAATAAAAAAAAAGAAGAGTGTATGTTAGAAGGTGTTCAACAATAAAACACGTGTATCTGTTGAAAGCCATAGGCTACGGCTACTACAATATACACTAGGTATGTTAGAAGTGTTCAACAATACACAGTGTATGTGAAAGCTCGCTAACAATACACAGGTATTGCAAATCCTAAACATACAACACAACTGTGTATTGTTATACTTAGTTACCAGGATTATCTGGCAGAGTAAGGAAACCCCTAACAAAATCGTAATCATATCTCTAAAGCTAGAGCATTACTGAATGCCTACACTCTGACATAATTCCTCACGAACACTATTTAACATTAAGGATGATAACCCTGATGACCCTAACCCTAACCCAATCATGTACACTAACCCTACCCTAAACTACCCTAATCATGTACATAATCCTAAGCCTATCCACAGTGACTCCGAATTAAAATTTAACCGCCGCAACGCGCACGCACGCACGCACACACACACCACACACACACACACACGACACACACACACACACACACACACACACACACACCACAGTATATATATATACTCTTACATGTTGACGTGGTAATTACATGCGAATGCTATTGTTGTTTGTTAGTGGTTTCCGGAATCTGACATTGGCTGGTCACACAATCCCGCCTATGATGAAAGCTAACGCCATCACTGACAGAAGGCTGCAAAGGTGCGAAATCAACGACGCGTCCAGAAATAACAGTACTATTGATATCAACAATAAAAGTATTGACACGTTGGTTTTGCTGCATCTGCGTTGTCTAGTTATCATTGTGAACGTATGAGAAGCGGAGCACGGGGCGA